GTAAAAGGACGAATTTAAAAAGAAAAATGTTCCTTGAAGATACTATGGCCTTCTGTAGTAACGAAGAAAGATATGGTTATCAGGTATATACCAATCTTAAATACAATCCGAATTATAAATTAGAGGAAAGAATACACCAATATTTCTATTCAACAAAATCTCGAGGATCCCAATATGACCTCAACATATCAAAAATATATCGAGTATATAAAATATATACCGAAGAAGAATCAGAAGAAAAATCTTTAACAAAACAAGAAGTCCTACGACACCTTGAACAAGATTTGTATAGTAAAAGCTCAACTTAATATCAAGACAATTATAAAGAACTTAAAGAAGTAATGGAATTATCATTTAATCAATATTTAAACAAAGTCAAAGAATCATTAGAAGTACACGAAAACTTAGAAAAACATTACCCAAATAGATATCTATACTGTAACGGATGTTTAACACCAATTAACATCAATAATGATAATGAATGAAACGTTAATAATGACTTTGTAGCAGTCTTTGAAGAAGAAGAAAAAGATAACCAAATAATCGAAGTAGAACGAACCTATTGTACACAACATTATTATGATAAAGAAAACAATCATTTACGATATTGTAAATATTGTAACAACGAACATGAACTCGAATTACCCGAAGAAATCAGTAGATTAATGTGTAATCACTATTACGAAGAACAATTTCCGAAACTACAACCAAAAGAAATTAAAAGACGAACGCTGACACCAGGACCATCAACGATTAAAAAACGACTAAGGACAATGTCATCAGTCAAACAATATGTTGAAAAATGGCATATTTTCCAAGGATGGAATTACAGATGCAAAACATGTGGAGAATGCGATCATCATTCACACAAATATTGTACTCAATGTAATAAAATATATGATAGATTTTATAAAGAATGTACGTGTTATGGCCCAGACATAACTATTGAACAGGAAGAAATTCCGATAGAGCCCGAAGAATCCATTACTACTGAACAACAAGTAACAAGACTAAAACAAATAGTGTTGGGCCAATCAGAACAAATTAATGAATTAAGAAACATTATTGAATATAGAAATATCCAATATTGGACCTTATTGGATAAGATTCGATATTTTCAGGATGAGATATCCACAGCAATATCGCAAGACTACAACCGATATTATAGACCGGAGAATCGACTCCAAGAAGAACCTGAACTTTTGGACGACCAAGAAGAATTCAATAATACAATATACAGAATTAATGGACAACATGAAATTATTAACAGAGCAATAGAAAGAGAAAAAAGTCGAGGAAGATCGTTAACACCACGACCAATTACTAATCAAAATGAAGGATATAATGAAGAAACCCCAATGATAATTGTCGATGAATAAACATCTGACAAATAGATAATTAGTAATCAATAATTTGTAATAAAAAGTGAGAACATTCCATGTAATACTTATTGGAGTACAAAATTACTCTTAATGAATATTATAGTATTTACCCCAAATAGGAAAGAGAATGACTGTGATATGCGAGGAAGGGGCGTACACACGAGATCAAAACAAATTATCTGTATAACAAACAATGCCAAAACACGTATTAGTAATATCCTTCTTATCTATTGAAACAAACCAAATTTTAGAATTAGTAATCTCCATCTATCTTATAAACAAAAACAAAATCTTTGATTAAAAATCAAACTGATAACGACAAGATTAATAATCATGATAGCTGGACTATCAAATCAAAAATTATTTAAACACTCTTGATTAACCCGAATCAAAACCTCACTCATTATGAGCAAATGGAAAACAATAATCAAAAAGACTTTATTGAAAAACTTCAACAACAAATTAAAGATCTTGAAGAATTTAAACAAAAGCAACTCATGATATTATTAGACTTAATAACTGCTTTCATAATCTTTATCGATATAAACCAGGATATTGCCCCAACAAATATTCTGCACCAATAGAAACCGACTCAGACAACGAATCCTATTATTTTATTCAAACTGCAAAAGTTAGACCACAAAAGAAAAAGTGAATGATTCAACAAATAATCAATTATATTACTTGGACAACCATACAACTTTTAACCAAACAATTAACCGAAGAAGAAATACTTTACCTTCTTCTCATCAATCTTAATCAATATTAATGATAACAGAAAACAATTTCATTGAACAGTTTGAAGACAACGAAACGACCTTCAAGAAAATTACCGCTTTTGAATTAACAGGAATCAAAAGCCTATTAGCAAACTTATTGAATACTGAATTATTACAAATAGAAGAAAACAATAAATCATTTCTATTAGCTAAAGCCGAATGACGATATTACGTTCAGGCTTTACCAAAAAGTGAACTAATTCAAGATATCCAAGACCTTTTATTAAAACCTAAACCATTGACTACTCAAGACAACGCCGATTATGCTATAACAATTAATTAAATAATCAGAAACATCAGAAGAAATATTGATATACTATTATCAGAATTAGATCTTGATAAGTAAAAGAAGACCTATTTTAATTAAAAGAACAGACCAAGAAGTACTCAAACAAATAAGATTAAAGGTTTAATTATAAAACAGAATTATCTAAACAAGACTTAACAGAAACTGAATATAGATTTCTAATATTCCAACAATACGCAGTAATAGCAGTATCATCAACATATCAGATACGAAATCTTGAGATAGAAGCCACTCTTACAAGAGATACTTTAAACGATATAATTAAAAGTCTAAAGAATTTAATTAAAAATATTGATCAAGAATTACTAGAATTCTCTGACAATAAACAAGAGATAACTATTTGTGAGCTTTGTCAACAATTTAAAAACGGAATCGACTCTACAGTAGATTCTGACGGAAACTATTCAGAAAACGATATTTAATGAACAACAAAACATTAAATAATCATATTCACCGATTAACCATTCTTAAAGGACAAATAGTTACTACAGAAAACTTTACTGATATATTTTGGCAGAATACCAGAATAGAAATATACGAAAGGATAATTAAAAGATTGACTAGAATCTCCAAGATAATCCAGAAAAAAATTGACAAAACTGAACATCTTAGACAATCCAAAGATGGAACAACAGAAGATTTAGAATAATGGAAACTTCGAAAATATTAATCAAATATTTGAAAGATTCAATAAAAGTTACTTTAGTAATCGCTCTAAAGAAGAACTCCATTATATAATATTTTTAATATTTTTACATCCAAAATCAATCAAATTAATAACACCGGGATATGAAGAATTAGAAAAATTCTTATAGAAAGAAATGAAAAAGAATAGAGAACTCTCGAAACTAGTCGAATATATTTGGAATGAAAAAACAACTCTAGAAATAATCCTGACCAAAAGAAATCAAGAGGATATAATAACAATATTCAAAGGAATAGAATTGAAAAAACAAATCTTCAAAACCTTATGGTTTAAAGACCAAAACTATTATCAAAAATGGTCAAAAGAATTAGAATTATTAGTACGAATAGAACAAAAACAACAAAAGAAAAACCAAAAGAAAAATGAAAATCGATTCAAAGTTCTAAATAAGATTGAAGCCGAAGAAATTAAAGATTTGGAATATTCAGAAGAAAAAGTAAACTTTGGAAATGATAAAACTCTTCAAATTATGATCCCAAAACCGGAACAATGGTTAGAAAAAATAAATGATAGTCAAATGTATCTTGATCTAATGAATAAACAGAATCAAAGACTAGTCAGAGAAGTAGAACAGGATTAAGAAATAAGGAAGAATACTTTAAATAGAATAAAATGTTTAATCAATGACGAATTTAGAATAATCAAACAAACCCTGAAATACCTTTACAATCAAAGAAGAGATAATCCTTACCAAAAAACCCTAGCAAGCGAATTAACAAAATTCGACCAGTTCGACAATTATCTAGAAGAATATTTGCTTAAAGCAAAATTGATAACAATTGGAGGAGCGATAGGAGTAGGAAAAACCACATGGGCCCTGCAACTTAAAGAATTCCTTATTCAATTAGAATACAAAGCATTCTTAATGGAAGAAATCACTTTACAACATAAAAATTGGCTTTCTTTAATGTATTCTAATTTTAGTAAATATTCATTAGCATTCCAAACATATTAATAACACAATGGAATATTAATTATCAAAAATTAAAAAGACTCAAATTGGAAAAGGTTATTGATGAGAATACTATCATCATATGTGACCGAACTGCAATCGAAACAAAAGTATTCACTAAACACAATATCGAAAACCCAAAAGAGTTACAATTACTAGAAAAACTTCTTTATCAAACGGAGACACAAATATACAAAGATACATATTATCAAATATATATCAAATGTAGAAAAGAAGAAATGATTAAAAGACAGGCTAAAAGAAATCGACAAGAAGAAAAAGATATAGATAAATATTATCTATACGAGATATATGACATGTATGAAGAAATGATCCAAGAAATATACCCAAGATATATTGAAGTATTGACAGAAATATCAAAACCAGAAAATATATTCCGATCACTATTCATTCATAGTGCAAAAGGAATTGGAAAAAGACCTGAAGAAATAACATTAAAATCAGAACAAATAAAAAATTTAATAAAAAGACGATATACAGTCATTACTCTATTCAGAGAAAGAGAGCTACGGATGAATTCATTGAAGTCTTAACAGCAAAACGGTCCAGAAATGCTAAAATATATCCGGAACAACATTCAGGATTCGGAGGACACTTTGAAGAACATGATAAAACATATTGGAATTGTATTATATGAGAAATTATTGAAGAATTAAAATTCAAAATGAAACCCGAATGATTACAATTCATCAAAGTACACGGATATCTTTCTTACAATAGATCCGGGACTCAACCAGCAACAACTAACGATAGTGATTATACAAAATCACTGTATTATGTTGAAATAGCAATGTATCTATATCTGGTACTACCACACAAATATTCTCAAATAATTTAAAAAAAACCCAATAATATGTATCCACCTCAGTGGATGACAAAGAAACAAATGGACTACCAGGTATGGACTCCATCGATCCAATACTTTAAAGAAGAAATATTCGAAAAATATATACCAAGTTATTTAGAAGAATGGACCATAAAAGGAAAGATTACCAATAATCGTATCCAAGAACAATTTCCTAATCAGGAAATTTTTGAAGAATACAAAACGCCATATGACAGTGATGAACAAAACAATTCGGCCGAAAAACCGAATTACCTGTGAACGTTATATCACAATTCATCGCCAAGGGCTATAGTAAAGCATCCGGTGTACATGTTATTTGAAAATCTGCCGATGATTATCAACGGCCAATTTTAGAAAAATTAGACTATCAATTTAATCGAATATTTATTTACACAGATTGACCAAAATTCAACATATATGAGAATCCACAGCGTTCACTATAATTGTATTATAATTAAGAACAACGCCAAAATTCACGAAAATAATCAAGTTTTAATAGAAAAGCTTTGATTATTAGGGATAGTTAATTCGGAGAATATATTATTCTCAACACAATCGAAATTTTTATATTATACCATGAAAAATGAAATATATTATTCGAAAATGTATTTAAACACTGGTATTTTACCTTAGTTATTCTTGTAGACTATTACGATAAAAATTTAATATTTTACCTTATACTACTTAAAATTTATAACTTGATATTCGTGATATACGTTTGAAACTAAATACCACACCTTTCGCAAACTACTACTTAAACTAGAAACACATAATTTGAATATTAGTTTAGCTATACTCGTGCTTATAGCATATATTATTATTATATTTTACTTACTGTATTAAATATTATAACTTATCGCATATTATATTAAATAAACCATTTTATAAAATATAAACTATTAAAGCAATTTTACCAAGTGAAATATACCATTGAATAAGACTTTTGTTGAATATATCCAAAAGCAATAAATCTTTTACGCATACTAGTAAAAGTTATTATCGAAAAGTTAACTAGTGTACTTAACTGTAACTACTACTGGACTAAAGTCGTAATTAAACAACAGAAGTAAATTAGCGTGCACAACTGTGTAAAGAATCTAAGAATAGCTACCTTAGACGACATACTATATTCGACAATAGTGTTAACACAATAGATGATAAAGAA